CTCTGAAACATCAAGCTGATATGATGAATGTTTGAGTGCTACTGTTAACTCTGTGGATGTTCTAAATGTAACAGGTAGCACACAAAAATGAGAAGATGTTATCTTGGTCCAAAGCATAAATTAGAAGGACAGCATCTTCAAGATAAGAGTATGTCCAGAGACAACAGTAGTGTAGAATGATTTTTTTCCCCCCACATTTTAAACCAGAAATTATTTTTCCTTTAAGGAAGGAGGATAAGGTTAGAGTAGTCATCTTCAGATGCAGAAATGGAAAGAATTTCCAGTGTAGTGATTCTGTTTTGTGACTAGTCAAGTTTGACAGGGATTTCATGGGGATGGGAGGAGGGCAGAAGTATTTTGCATGAATTCCAGGTTGTTTTCCCAAAAAAATCAAAATGGCCAAGCAAAAATTGCCATCTCCAGAATAGTGACTGTTTGTTTCCTGCAGAAACTTAGAATGAAAAAAAAAGTTGGAACCTACTCTGCCCCGAGTGATTTTTTTTCTGTTTGTTTGTTTCCCAGATAGGCAGCAGCCAGCACTTGCTTGCTAAAAGAAAGTGCATCAGGCCTGTGTGTAACAGCTCCACTTGAGAAGTGTGTGTTAGGAGTGATTCAGCTTCTAAAGTGTGTCATTCTTTGAAACAAATTTGAGTGGGAAACTGAGGATAGAAAGGGGAATCGTTCCTTGCCCAATGTCAGTCAAGGTTCTGTGATGCAAGAGAGAATATTTGGCAGTAATTCTCTGTTACTCAGTTTCTGAGTGCTAGTGGGAACTCTTCCAAAATAAATCTAGTCCAATAGTCTAAATGCCTTATTTTGTAGTTTACTTTCTGTGTGGTTGCTTTTGAATTAGAGTTAATGAATTTCCTACTGCTGTCACAACAGACTTATTTAGAAGAAGACCAAAGAGTTCTAAAGTTTACAGCAACAAGACACTGCTACTCCATGATCTGTATGGCCCTGTTCACTTGAGTGAATGGTCAGGATAAAAGGAAGTAGTTGGAAGGTTCTTGCCTATTTTCCTGCTCTAAGTAATGTTAAATACATTTGAATTTAATTAAAAATGCTGATAGGAATCCTGGCTTGGACCTCTTTGGAGGAGTAGACTTTGCAGTAAACAGGATAGATGAAAGGAAGAGATCAAATAGAGGAGGTCACCAAATACAGCTGCCTCTGGAACAAAGAGCTGGGCTGGGCCCAGTGCAGGAAAGGCTCATCCTGTGCCAGGCACATCTGTCCTTTACAGCACTGTCTGCAAAAGTCCTAGAAGGAAAGGTTGGATATCTTGGCTTCCTGTAGGTGTTTTAGTGGAGACCACAGGATCTCTGAGTAGCTGCTTTCACACTCTCAGAATTATTTTTTTTAAGTGCTGTAAAGAAAGAAATAGTAGGTTTGCTGAAGATACAAAAATTATGGCAGTGGTGAAAGCTCCTCAAGCAGTTGGTCCTGCAGAGTAACTGGAGGTGATGGAAAGCATCTTGACACAGAGAAAGAAAGTGGTTTTAAGATAAGGTGGAAACTAGAGGTAAAAGTTTTTAATTATTATCAATGCACAGGCATGGTCTAAGCCTATATATACTTCTCTCAATTCTCAGTTAATTGGATGTGAATATAAGGCTTGTACAGCAGTTTTTTCTTTGTTTTGTTTCTCCAGAACTTGTTCCATTGTAATTATTTGTCTACTGTCTCTTCTTACATTCAAGCATGACTTTAAGAAAATACAGTCTCCTTGAGGACCAGCACAGTTGCTATTATTTCTGAACCTGTGGGGCTTTTTTTTGTAATTGTGTTGTAACATTTTGTGTCCTTTCTTCAAATAGTAACTCCCATTTGATTTTTCATCTCTTTCCTTATTATAAGTTGTACCAGCTAAAGTAATTTGCAGTAGAACATTTTGTGCTGATGCTTAAATGTCATCACTAAACTTTACATGGTTTGTACTGTCATGAAATGCAAGGCATTGGTCATGGGGAGGCATGCTGCTTGGAAGTATTTTCAGACTGAAGGCTTTTTAGGCTGTTCCAAAAGTGAAAGCTGTATCAGCTAATCTTGAAAAAACAAAATATATAAATCTTACGTTTGGAACAATTCAAACCATGTATGTATGTAAACATTGTTAAATGTGGTTTTACATTTTGCCATGTCTAGGTATGTCATAAAGGTCAGAAATGTGTCATGTGGCCTGGACCTAGCTCCTGGGTTAAGTGATTCTAGTCTCTTTAAATTTCAGTGGATTTGAGATCATCAGAATTGAACTGTCTGATACATTCTGGTTTAATGTCCCAGCCATCAGGTTCTTAGCTTTTTTAGGGTCAGGACACTGCAGGCTGAAGTGTTCCTTTCCCTCTCCCCCAACCACTTCTGACAAGCTCTTTTATATTAGTAAAATTATTTTTTCCCCTTTCTTTTTTTTTCTCCTATCTGTTAAATAATCTTGTTTTTATATTATCTCAAGCCAAGAGCTCAAATGTAATATCTGTACAGTAAATGCAAGTGAACTTCCTTGTAAGTGTTCCTGCTTCACTGAAATACCTTCAGTGTAGATCATAAGAACAGTGTGAGGTCCCCTTAGGAATTTCAGCAGCTGTTTGACCATGCAACTGATGTTAGAGGGAAGGACAGAAAAATACCTTCCCACAGAGGGTGTAGATGAGATAGAAGATAACAGATGATACATGGCATTGGCCCCAACTCATATATTTGTTTTTACTTCTCATTTGTCATATAAAGTATTTAGTGGTTTTTGATATGAAACATAACTTGCTAATGACACCATACCTGCCAAGGAGAGTTCATGAGAAGATGTCAGTGATGGCCACATTCTGAAGTACTGATTTCTGCGAGTGCTAAATGAATTCACATTGATCTGACAATACTGGAGGATCCATCTTTTGTCATTGGTACACAGGAGGCCTCTTTCAGCTCCCAGTGGCTTTAACAGAAGGGTGAGCAGATCCCAGCTGTATTACAGAACTGTTTCGTAGGTTCAGTTTACTTGCTTTTTTTATGTGTCCCCCTGAAACCTGTGTTACTCTGTCTTGTGAACATGCTGGGAGGTTGTACCTCTCATGATAGTGCAGCTTTTGTCTAGAGTATTGACCTTCCTAAATTTTTTTTAGCATGGCCTCCATGGTTAGTTTTTTGTGTCCTTCCAGCCCCTTCAGAGCCATGTATAGATGTTTTGGCTATTTTCTTCTTGCTGGGAGCAATTTGGTTTTGGTGTAAAATAAAAGTGAGACTTTTACTGCTTCTCTACTTACTTTTTTTTTTCTTTTTAGGGAAAGAAGTATGCTACAGGTATAACTTCTTATAGCCTGCATCCCTTGGACTATTCCTTGCTCTGAGGTCCTCAGCTTTTCCTTGTCATGGAGTGCCTGTTGAACACCTGGGTGTTTGTTGCTTGCCATTAGGCAGTGATCCCCCAGTGTGGCACTGTCACACCCAAAGGCCTTTGTTCAGTTCTAATAACCATAGGAGCCCTTGAGAAGGCAAGTCTTGCTTTCTTTCACTTTTGCTTAACTAGATCTTTATATTTGTAAAAAAACCAGTGGAAAGGACTGAGAGAGCTGATATGAAGAGACCTGTAGCTCTGAGTGTTCATTGTTCTGTTGTAACACATCTCCATTTTCAGAGACCTCTGCTTTCTGGCTAAGGTGTAAAGTCCTAAATGTTAATTCATGGAGCTGGCTGCTACAGGGACATTTAAGGATCACAATACAAGTAATTTTCCCTTCCCAGACCTTACGAGTCACTTTCTTTATATAACCATTTGGATCTCATTTCAACCCTTACGGAAGAGTCTGTTAAACTAACATGAAGAGCTTCCACATACAGATTGGTCATCTTTGATCATCCTTGTTCTCTTTCACTCAGCTTTTTTCAGTTCTACTTTAGTGGAGGGTATTAAATGTGATAGTGATGACCCCTGCTTTAGCCTCTACCCCTTTCCCAATAATCCTGAGCACTCTGTATACTTCTGCAGGTAAAGTTTCTCCTCCACTGCTGAGCAAAAGTTGGGATCTTTATGGAACTGTCTGTTCTAACATTGAGTTTTTCTCCTGGTTGGTAGTAATCTGTTTGGGGTCCATCACTGCATATGTGAGGTTGGAGTTGGGTTCCCTGCATGAGCTCCATTTTCACTTTCCATTTGTTAGCCAGTCATTCAGTCTGTAACTTTTTATAGTTTCCCTTGCTGCTACTTTTACATTTTTTATGCTTAGCTGATATACTGTGAACTCATCAGTGAAAACACATCATAAATAATAACATGATAAGAAAACCTACAACTCTTGTGTCTGGAGTGTAATGTATTATGGATATTGGTCTTCAAGTCAGTCATTGTTACAGCAGATGAAATGTAATTTGGTGTAGTTCATTGTAGAGGTTCTACTGGCATGATGAGTGAGGAACACGCCAGTGTCTTCTCACCAGAATCTCCAGATGGAGTTTCCCGTGCACACGGTAACACATGTATTTTATGTATGTTTAAATATAATTTCATTTCTTGTGTAAACTTTAAGATGTATTTTATAGATATGTGTATGCACCTTATTTCTGCATGTGCCCTTTTTCTGATTTCAGAATTGTTTTGTACCTATGAAAATGGGCAGAAACATCAGCAGTGCTATCCAATGCCAACTTCATTTCAGTGGAACACCTGGATTTCCTACATGTTCAAATTCCCTGGAAGAGTAAATTAGCAGGTTTTTAGGGGTAAAGGCAAATGTTTAGAAAAACGTCTGCTTACCAAATTGGCTTTTGTCTTCCTACTGCAACTCAGGTGTAGTGTGTTTGCTGAGACCTCTTTTGCTGGACATTGTCCCGAGTATCCGCCAGACCGCTGCCTTGGCTCTTGGGAGACTCGCTGATTATGACGTGGGGCTGGCAGAGGTGATCGTGAAGGCAGGAATTCTTCCACAGCTCATATGTGTACTGCCTGAGGAGAATGTAAGGCATGGTTGTTCTCTTAAGTAATATTTTTTTCAAGTATTATACAGGGAAAGGGAAATCTTTCTGGATCAGCATCTGCTGTTATTCTAATAGGACATTAAATGTATTGAAGTCAGAGCAGCATGTATGTTTGAACCCCTGAGAGATCACTGTGTACTGTATCCTGAAGTCTGGCTTCAAGTAAGCTTGACTTTAAAATATTGTATTACCATTTGATGCACTACAGGAAATACATTCATTGCACTGTAACATTTTTAAAATGTTGAGTGATGCTTTATAAAAGGTCCCTCTTCAAAAAGGAGACAGTTTGGAAGCTGTGGTGATAATTGACTCAGTTTTGTCCGTAATACCAGACATGTGTAAAATACATATAAAACCCCTGAAGTTCTGTAATGGAATACTTTGTATCTCCAAATGCAGACCTTTGGAAATCTGTAGTGTGAGAAATAACAAACCTCTGACACAGGAAAATATACAGAAAGGTTTTCATCTTCATATTTGTCAAAACCAAACAAAGTACAGTCACAAATGCAATGCAAATAAACCTGTTGGTCTTTTCCACTCCCTTCCTCACATTTTCCTTCAAGTTCTGTGTCTCTTTCAGCTTTGATTTTTTGAATGATGCTAACCTAGCATCATTCAAATTAACAGAAATATTTTCAAGTAAGGTTCCTAGCAGCTGGAAACTGACAGCCGAAGTGTTAAGTGCACTTATATCACAATCACACTTATATTGCAGCTTTGATTTATGAAAAGTAGGTTTTCAATGGAAATATAATCTGGAAAACCATATATTTTAATTTTCAATCTTTGGAGGAAAAAAAATATCTAAATGTATGAATTGCATACTTTTTGTGCCTATACATTTAAAGCATTGCCTATACAATTAAAATTGGAAAAGAAAACACTAAAGAAAAACTTTGATGGCAAGATACTGGTATAGTATGAAAAGAAAGTAAAGATTTTAATTAGACAAGGTTATAAACATTTTGGTTATTTTATTTCTATTTTTAAGGGAACAAAACTCTACCCACTGTTGGTTGGAAACTACCCCCTGCTACAACTTGAAACCCTCACTAAATTAGCTCAAGTACCCTGAGATAGAGTAATTAGGGGAAGCAACAGCAAGACTTGTGTGAGGTCATGGAAAGCCTGCTATGTCTTGGTGAGGGCAAGAGGAGGAAACTCATCCAGTTCATGCAGAGTTTAGCAAGCAGACAGTTTGTCACTTCCCACAGGCAAAGAAACCTTTTCCGTTCCACTCACTTGTAGTGTATCAACATCTGTATTTAAGGGTGAGATTCTTTGAGCACACAATGAATACTGTTTCTACATATTTATTGGGAACAGTCACAGGGTAACATCCCAGATCAATGTTTTGTCAGTTAAACTGAGCAAAATTCAGTTTTATAGCATATTCTGGCTATGCCTGTGAATATGGTTTGTTTCTAAAGAATGTGTTTTGGATAATGAAAACAAAGAAGTGTTTTTCTTTGCCAGGAGCATAATTACTTAACAGAAACAACATACCCATATTTGTACAGACTTATGTAAACAAATATGGCTCCATTGAGTTCAGCAAAACTTACAGTAACTTACATTATCTGGGGATTGGAGCATTTGTCTGTACTGTTTCCCTTAACTTCTGTTCCCCCTAAATGAGGTTTAATGCTTTGCTTGTAAATTATGTTTAATGTACCTGCTTGTAGACCTTAATTTAGAAAACTGGATTTTTGGAATAAAGGGATTATATCAGTACTGGTAAACTAAGGCAGGTAAGGGCATGTTTTGGAGCATGGAAAGATGACTGTGCTCATTAATCAGTAGCAGGCTCTCTGATGTGGTTTTAGGCAATACAAGCCATCAAACTACACAACAATGCTTGAACATGGTTTGAGGGATAGGACAAGTCAGGAAGAGTTTCCAGTGGCATAGATGAGGCCGTTGTGCTTTGAGGAAAGAGGAGTTTAGGTGCATGGATGTGTTATGCTGTGTCACCTTCCTTTAGGGCCAGGGAGTGGGTCTGGGTGCATTTTATTTCCTGGGGGCCATTGCAGATACTGTTCTGTTGCCATATCTCAGTGCTTTAGATCAGGCTTTTGAAGGTGTTTGGGTACCTGACAGGATACACAAAAGCACTCAACGTGGTTCTTTGTTTTTCTGGACTTGGTCCAGAAGGGATGTGGGCTTTGCATTGTTTAAATTTTGGGTGCCTTGACAGTAGGACTAGCACTGCAGAGTGCCCAGGCTCCCTGTGCAGAGCAGGGGAGAGCCAAGCATCTTGGGATGAGATCAAAGCCAGCTGGCATACGGAGAGAGCCCTCTAGAGCTTGTCCATAGGGATCATCTGTCAGGGCCCAGGCTGGAGGGCATGCTCCAGGCACACAGACATAGCAGCAGGTTACTTGTGTCCCCATGAATCTTGTCCTTCACGAGGGAGGGGAACAGCCTGTCTTTCTCACAACATGGTTTTCTCTGGCCAGAGTACTTTAACTGGGCTCTGGATTTTGAAAATGTAAGGCAGTAGAGGAAACTTCAGCTTCCATATCCTAATGGTGGGTATAAAACTGCAGGAGGAGAGTGAAATGCGATTTTTTGAGGGAAGACTTAACTGTGCTTTTAGAAGAAATCACTGCTGCAGTTTACGTGGGAGCCCCATGCTGTGTGCAGTGTCATGCATTATATATACATACTGAAACCATTATTTGGTCCAGCACTGAGGGAGATGGGCAGAATTGAGACAAGAGCTTAGACTTTGTGTGCTCTTATGACAAAAGGGCCAGGTGCTTAGTCCTGTTCAAAGGGAGCTTTTTCTGGACACAGGCAGAAGTAAAATTGCAGTCTGCTTGGACAAAATTGAAGGTTGTTAAGTATTGGGTGTTGGTGGGATGGGTTTTCAGTATCCTAGCTGTGGGTTTTAGGCAGTATTTAGGCATTTCAGGATTCAGTTCCTAAACTCTTGTATTGGATCTAATTCTTTCCGTCTCATTTTCCTGTTTGCAAATGTAACTAGTGTTTTCTCACAGAGATATTGTGAGAGTATCTGTTTTAGAAAGTGGAAAATGTTGTAAGTGTTACAGATGGGTAGAATTATTTTAGGACCTTGCCCTGCATAACCTGTGTAATCTGGTTAAATATGTTAAGAGTTACTGTTTTTGCAGCTCTTGTTCACGACTCACTTAAACAAACAGACTTACTTAGACTACTCTCTTTTTCCCATATCCTCTTAGCTCTCTCATTTTTTTCTGTTTGTTTATGCACTTGCTGCAGATTTTATATCATGAGCTGTCCCAAAGAACTGTAGCCTAATTGTCTGTGTGATGTCCAGTGGTCCTGATTTGGATCTGTATGAGATATTGCTGCTACTAAAAAAGTCTAATTTAGGCATGTCTGTGCTATATTGTGCTTCAAACTTCTTAATGTTAGTGAAAGTTTGTTTGTTTCTGATTTGTCTAGCGTTACTACAAGAAAGCAGCTGCATTTGTGCTAAGAGCAATTGCTAAACATTCTCCACAACTAGCTCAGGCAATAGTTCATTGTGGAGCTCTGGAAATGCTGGCGGTTTGCTTGGAAGATTTTGACCCTGGAGTCAAAGAAGGTGCATCTTGGGCATTTGGGTACATTGCCCGACACAATGCAGGTAACAAGTTTCATGTGTGTTATTTTTTACCTTAATGTCATGTGATAACAATAATGAATTGTGTTGTTTGGTAAATATAACAAGATGATTTTTCTTCTCTACTGTTACAAAATTTTAAATTTGGGATGGAACCCTAGTGTGACTGTACCATTCCAGCAATGCTGTAGCTTTTTGTGGGAAACTGGCATACCTGACACCAGCAGCACCCAGTTAATGAGAGGTGCTTTAAGAGAAGATGTTTTGGGCCCGTGGTCAGAAAAGGACACAACTCTGCTTTATTCCTCTTCATTAACAGATTTCTGAATCTTTATATATTGTGTAGGTGTTACTGCAGAACCAGGTCTCTTTTGCTTGACATTAGTTCTTCTTTGATATACATAGTTGACTGGAGAAGCCTAGGGAGGAGCAAGTTTGATTCATTCATTACAGTAGTGTTTGCAGGATGAATAGGCCAAATTTATTGCACTATGTTATCATTAGCCAGTGGACCACACTACTCTCTGGGAGTCAGGAATAGATCCTAGGAATCCAATATTGAGCTGTCTCACAGGCAGTTGTATAACTCACTGGTGGTGTCATGTTCCTATTTAAACACTGATCCACGTGGTTGATACTTCTTCTACCAGCTATTTATATAGTTCAAGTAAAAGTTTAGACTGTGAATGAAAGAACTGAGGGAAGAAACCGCTAGCTGGAAGGGGTGGGAGAAATGGTTAGTGTTTGTATTATTCAAAATTAAACTAATTATAGGATCATAACCTTAACTCATGGTTTTATATTTGGTTTTGGCTCTAAAACATACATAGACTGATTTTGAAAGTGCTTTTCTTTGTTTTTTAATCAATACAGAATGCTGGAGTGCAGAAGGCATGGGGGATTCCCCCTTCCCACTTAGCGGGTTAGCTTACTGGGACAGTCTCCAGAGTTGTTAGCACCTTTCTAACTGACTGCATTTTCTGGGGAACAAATTAATTCTTGGGACACCTCTCTGGTAATGATCTTTTATCATTTGGTCATCAGGATTGAATTCCACCCTTGGTGGAAAATAATTGTTCCTTCCATCTGAAAGATATTTATTTAAATATCAAAAGTGTTCATTTGTGTAAATGTGTGTAGTATGTGTGTGTCTGCGTCAGTCTTAACATAAACATTTCTGCAGTTTTGTTATGTCACTAAATCAATATTGACTCACTCCAATTGCCCTTCATGCTATTCACTGCATGAATGCTGATGGAGCTTTAGGGTGATCCAGTTCACTCTGTGACAGCATTGTCTGCAAAGATGTAGGTGATGTGGGGGTATTGAAGACAAAAAATTCCTTGTACAAATTTTTATTCCATGGTTATGAATAATTTATTTGCTGATGGTGAATGGGTGCATACCTTATGTCAATTTACAATGACAATAAGAACAGCATCCTCAGAAATTAGGTTGAAATTGAGAGTGCTACCAAGCTGCAAGCATCAGGACATCGACAGATCACGAGATGTAATCAGTAAAAGAACCCTGAATGCCAACAAAAAAACACCAAAAGACTCCTGAACAAACTGCCCAGCTACAGCCAGTTTAGGGGATTTACCTGCCTCTATAACAGTCACAGGATGTCTCTAAAATGATTATGGAAAGTAGAGGAGTTATACTGAGAAAAGATCACTCTGCATCATATGTTTCTTACACTGCTACAAGGATGCCTTTGCAACATGATATTGCTGGAGATGGGATACAGGGATAGAGAAATGGGATACAGCAATAGCTGGTGTTAATTGGATTAATTAATCTGGATTAAACTGACATGCTCCTGTTGACAAAATTTGGTGTTTATGATTTTCTGTCAATGACTGTCTGTGGACACATAATGCAGTTTTAACTTTACAAATAGACCTGGGTGTGAAATGGTTCCCCCCAGCCAAAGAAGGTTTTTCAGTTTCAAAAATTGTTAGAGTTTTGAACTGGGACAATATTGAGACAAGACTTTTTCTCTCTCTTGAAAAAATTGGGGGTAGGAAGACTTGTTTGCCCCAGCAAGAAAAGTTGGATAATTAGGGCATGTCTCTGGGATTGAAGTCCTGATCTGTTTTAGGCAGGATGTGAACCTCTGTCCTCGTGAGTGCACTCAAAGCCTCCTGGCATTCAGTGATAATTGTGTGCAATGGTGAGGCTCTCTCTGCTTTTAATCAGAAATTGCATCCATGACCCAGTAAAGCTACTAAGAACTGCAGTGTATGTTCTCATGAAAAGACTTCCATTCTGAGAAATTGAGGCTTCCCCCCCACCCCCCAACAATGAAAACATTCTCTGCTTAGCAAGTTCTATATTGACTTCATATAAAAATCTTTTAAAATGCAGTTGTTCTGGGAACAGATGTCTCCAGAAGGCCTGTGAGATTTTAGGTAAAGACAAATGTCTCATGAGGTTTCAAGATGTTAGAAATCTTGCTAGGTCAGATTCCAGAATTTAGAAACTGTTCGTGCAGTTCTGTTCTTTCTTTCCCTTTGAGCTGAATTTCAGATACTGATCTTGCTCCAAAGTGTACAAATCAATGTGCTGTGATTTTGCCGTTCATTATTTTTACTGATTGGGTTTAAAAAGAAGTGTAAAGTGTTTCAAATACCATAGATACCGTCAGGTCCATGAAAAATATTTTGTAACATTTTACTTACACCATATTCAGTTAAAATGCAAAATTGTTTTCTTTGAAGTATGCAAATAATTTGGCTTTCCATTTTCTTTGTCTGCATTAAAGGGGTAATTTATTAATTGTCTTATACCTGCTTCAGTATATTGTAAATTGGTAGGAAAACAAAAATAAGCAACACTGTTGATACTGAAGCTTATTGCTAAGAGCAGAATTTTGCTCATTTTCTGTCATACAGTGGACCGTAGCTCAGCTTAGAAGGGACCTTGGTAGATCTCTAGTCCAGCTTCCTGCTCAAAGCAGCATCAGCTGCAAGAACCGGTTCCTCAGCTCTTCAGTGATTTGAGTCTAACCTCCATCCTCCTGGTGAGAGGTTTTCTCACTGGTTCCAGGGGAATCTTTAGCACTGTGGTTGTAGGGGCCTGCATCAATCTCTGATTTTGAAGTGCAGCCTTTGGCTACTTGTGGGGATTAGAGTCTTTCTATGTGCCTATAACATGATCACACAGTCCTCAGAAAATACAGTATTGGTGGTTGTCTTGGTCAAAACCTGTTGTTTCATGTAGATGCACCTGCTACCACAGCAAGGTCTGTTTGAGAGCTCTGGTCTGAGCTGAAACTTGCATTTCCTTCCAGCCAGGGGTGTTGCTGCTGCTCTGCTATGGGGATATAATGTTGTCAATATAATATTGAGATGATTTTCTTTCTCTGGAGACAACCTGGACATTCACTTTCTCACCTTCATCTTTTTTTTATCCTCATCTGGTTTTTATAATCCATATTATTATTGCCAATGTGATAATATTAGTGGGGTTTTTCTATTAGCACCTTAAACTAGTTTAGAATAATCCTGTTTATTCCCATTGTTTTCGGTGGGTATGTAGGTAGGATCTTGACTCCACTTTGTTGGCTTTCCCCTCTTCCTGATCACAGAAACTCATGACAAGTCTTCAACCTACTTTGAATTAATTTCTTCATCCCTGATGAGTACTTTTGTATTGAGACAAACCAGCACAACTCTAGTACAACATCTAGCTGTACTAGAACTGGTAGCATTCTCAGACTCCAAAATCTGTCTTTATTACATTAGTCTTTCTTCTACATCCATTTGAGTCTTGTCTCCAGTGTCTTCACTTGCTAAAATCTTCCTTGTGTAGATCTGGATGAAAGTGGTTCATTTTTGGTCTGTTTTGAACCATAGTTCTCTTGTGTTTGAACAAACAGAGTTCAATTTCCTACTTTCACTCACATAGGGAGATGTTCAACTTTATCATCATGTAGCTGGAGAAGTTCCTTGAGTTGTACCCCAATGTGAATTCCAAGCCTGTGGTTTTCATAACCTTCTTTGGAATTAAATGAGGTTCATACATTAGCTTTTCTTTGCTGTCTTTCTCCTCTGCAGCTATGGGACTTGTCCTGGCCCTTATAATACAGCCTTGGTGTAGTATTTGGAAGAGTATTTTTGTAATTTGTTTTAGTTATTTTAATTTTTTCTGAGTGAATATTTGCTTTTAAAAATTTCTTATTGCCAAGTTAGCTCAGCTTAGAAGGGACCTTGGTAGATCTCTAGTCCAGCTTCCTGCTCAAAGCAGCATCAGCTGCAAGAACCGGTTCCTCAGCTCTTCAGTGATTTGAGTCTAACCTCCATCCTCCTGGTGAGAGGTTTTCTCACTGGTTCCAGGGGAATCTTTAGCACTGTGGTTGTAGGGGCCTGCATCAATCTCTGATTTTGAAGTGCAGCCTTTGGCTACTGGTGGGGATTAGAGTCTTTCTATGTGCCTATAACATGATCACACAGTCCTCAGAAAAATACAGTATTGGTGGTTGTCTTGGTCAAAACCTGTTGTTTCATGTAGATGCACCTGCTACCACAGCAAGGTCTGTTTGAGAGCCCTGGTCTGAGCTGAAACTTGCATTTCCTTCCAGCCAGGGGTGTTGCTGCTGCTCTGCTATGGGGATATAATGTTGTCAATATAATATTGAGATGATTTTCTTTCTCTGGGGACAACCTGGACGTTCACTTTCTCATCTTCATCTTTTTTTATCGTCATCTGGTTTTTATAATCCATGTTATTATTGCCAATGTGATAATATTAGTGGGGTTTTTCTATTAGCACCTTAAACTAGTTTAGAATAATCCTGTTTATTCCCATTGTTTTCGGTGGGTATGTAGGTAGGATCTTGACTCCACTTTGTTGGCTTTCCCCTCTTCCTGATCACAGAAACTCATGACAAGTCTTCAACCTACTTTGAATTAATTTCTTCATCCCTGATGAGTACTTTTGTATTGAGACAAACCAGCACAACTCTAGTACAACATCTAGCTGTACTAGAACTGGTAGCATTCTCAGACTCCAAAATCTGTCTTTATTACATTAGTCTTTCTTCTACATCCATTTGAGTCTTGTCTCCAGTGTCTTCACTTGCTAAAATCTTCCTTGTGTAGATCTGGATGAAAGTGGTTCATTTTTGGTCTGTTTTGAACCATAGTTCTCTTGTGTTTGAACAAACAGAGTTCAATTTCCTACTTTCACTCACATAGGGAGATGTTCAACTTTATCATCATGTAGCTGGAGAAGTTCCTTGAGTTGTACCCCAATGTGAATTCCAAGCCTGTGGTTTTCATAACCTTCTTTGGAATTAAATGAGGTTCATACATTAGCTTTTCTTTGCTGTCTTTCTCCTCTGCAGCTATGGGACTTGTCCTGGCCCTTATAATACAGCCTTGGTGTAGTATTTGGAAGAGTATTTTTGTAATTTGTTTTAGTTATTTTAATTTTTTCTGAGTGAATATTTGCTTTTAAAAATTTCTTATTGCCAAGTTTGTTTTCGCCTCTAACTCCTTCTCAGTGTAAATTTTTTCCCACCTCTGTCCGTATTTCTAAATGGATGGCAAAGTTTAATGAATCCTTTGGTGTATAATCTGCATTAAAGATGTTCTACAAGAGGAAGATTAATTGAGCCTTTTCTTGAGGGGAAAAAAAAAGAATTACAATTTATAATGGAATCATTAATACTTAGAATTGTAATTTTTGGCTGAATTTGGAGGGAAACAAGATGGGAAGTACTGTATTTCCTTTCTCCCCTGCCTCAGCTTTTCTGTTTTTCTGACAGTCCATTTACAACTTGTCTGTCTTGACACATGGTCCAGCCCTCCATGTGGTAAGTTATTAGCCATGAACCTTATAAACACCACTGGAAGAAAAACCATTTAATTACCCATGACCAACAGTAACCATCAGTATTTAAATGATATCAGACTTCTAGCAGCAAGAGCTGATCTAAATTGAATCAGATTTACTTTGCTCTTTCAAAATAACTTTTACAGTTACTTTTACATGCCTGAGTGTAGCTGTGACCTGAAATATTGCTCCTTCTCTCCCTGCTTGAACTTCATTATTTTAGCTCCTAAGACATAAAAGAAGCCCTTTCTTCTAGCACCATGTCCCTCTTGACATCAGATTCTTGACTTTAGCATTTCCCAGCAGACTGTGGGCAGTGGAGCTCTGCTTGGTCTGAAGTTCTGAGGCACAACTGGAGGGCTTAATCTGGGCAGTGGGTCAGTAGATCACCATGGATTCCACGATCTGAAGAAACTGGGCATGGTTTTTTCCATGAAAAGCTGACTGTAACTTATACCACTTATATTGATTAGCTCCTTTTCAGGTTTGTTTTTACATACATTTCAGGTATCTTTCACTGCATATTTTTAAAACTGAAGACACTGCATTTGAGTTTGTTGAAATCTTATGATTTGTGTATTTTAAGGATGCATGCACTTTATTTTCAGTCAAATATTTATTTGAAAAATGAACTTTGTAGAGTTAATTTTACAGATTCACAGAACATGAAAATTGTTGTGAATTGGAAGGGACCCACAAGGATCATCAAGCTCAACTCTTAAGTAAATGGCCTGTACAGGGGTTGAACCCACAACTTTGCCATTATTAGCACCATGCTCTAGCCAACTAAGCTAGTTTCAGGGTATTGTATTAGTTTAAAAATTATTGCATTATTTAATTTTTTGATGTAATATCTATATTTTCTATATTTTTTGATGCAATATCTATATTTTATTTAAAATATTGTATCATAAAATAACATACAGTGTAAATATTTGACTTATCACATGAATTACAGTGTGTGGCTATAACTCACTAATTGAAAACAAATCTGGTCTGGAACATTATTTGGATATTAACAACGTAATGATGACATGACGTACAGACTTCATGAAAAACTATATTAGTCTATGTATATTTAATGAAGTATGCTGTATTTTTCTTAGTATGAAAATCTCTTTATGGATGGACTATAAATCAAAAGCTAAGTTAGAGTCTTGAAATACAACAGCCATATGTTGCCATGGTACTGTAAGTCAAGATAAATGTTAAAGATAATAATGGATATGCATAATAAGGTGTAGCAAAACTGAACGAAGAACCTAATAGATTATTGAATCCCCTATGGTTTTTACCACTTTTTCAACACTATTTTAAAATAGCACAGCTTGGTTATAATATAAATTTTGCTTCTGATACCCAGTAATTCTCATTTTAGGACTGTGATTAATGCTGCATACACAGAGAGAGCTAATGAATTTCTAATAGTGTAATTTTTGTCCATGTCAGCTAATCACATACTCAGATTTTTTTTTTTTTGTTTAAGGTGCAGTTAGTTAAGGATATTGTGCTAATCTCAGACACACAATATCACTGATGATATTTCTCATTTGTGTAATTGTGTATGATAACATTTTCTTGTCATTAAAGTACAAATTCTGTCTCATCCCACGTACGGTAGCAAAGACTAGTTTTGATCACCAAGTTCCATTTTTGCAATCTTTTATGTAAGATAAATCTTTTATGTATGTTTTTTGTATTTTTGTTTTTGGCATTTGATCTATGCTAATATCTGCTTATCATTTAAAGAGGGTAAAATGCTCTCTAATTAGCCGGTTGATAAAATTTTGGTACTTTGGCTTTCTGTGTTGTTGTTAGCCATGCATAAAATGCTTTCCTATTGATCAGTGCAGAATAGCCAGGGTTTAAACAGCTGACATCTGCTTACTTTAAAAAAAGAAAAAGAAAACAGAATAACAAACCATTTCAGCCTAATCTACCTCAAATGTGTGCATGTAAATGGGGGTCCATCTATTGACCTGCATTCTTTTCAGTTGTGGATTGGTCCACACGGTTTATGAAACCAGGAGGGCTGATTTGAAATGCAGATGTCGAGACAGTGAACTACACCCTCCCCTTTTTCCTTTGCTGTATCTGTCAGGGTGAAAAATGGCTTGCACAAGGGTCAGTCACCCATACTCACTTAATTACTTTCCTTGGACCTACAGAACTGTCACAAGCTGTGGTGGATGCAGGCGCTGTTCCTCTTTTAGTGCTCTGTATCCAGGAGCCAGAAATTGCTTTGAAAAGGATTGCTGCTTCAACTCTCAGTGATATTTCAAAGCATTCTCCAGAGTTAGCACAGACAGTAGTGGATGCAGGAGCTATCGCTCACTTAGCTCAGATGATCCTGAACCCTGATGCTAAACTGAAGGTACATTTATTTTTTTTTAAATCTCCATTATACCAGTCATTACTTGAGATTGAATCAAAAGACGTGGATGTGCATATTTATTTAGAAGCTCTTGGTTTGGGTGTTAACAAAATGTAACTATATAGTTAGTGACAAAGAGTTCTGCACATATGTACAAATTTAGCTACTGGATATAAACTGCAGCTCTGTGAGGAACAGCTAAACTAATCTTTAAAGTGAGAAGTATGGGATTTTTTAAAGAATATATAGTATATGAAGAATGCAACAGAAACTTTTAATAGGTAAGATTTGCACATTTCAGTTACAAAAAAGGTTTTGCATACTAAAGATTATATGATAAGCCAGTTAATAGTGAACTTATTGTATTTTAGAATGTACTGTCTGATGTGAATAGCTGTTGTCAAAGGTTTAATCACTAGTGTTTGACAAAAAAAAATTGCGTATTATAAATTTTCTGTCTTACTCTACCAAACAGAAGACAGCATGAAAATGCCACAAAAATTTCTTAATAGAAGATCTGACAGATCAAATTTGTGTAAATAAAAATACTTTATATAGATTTTAGTAAATTTTAAATTACAGTTTAAAATGGTGTGTGTATATATATATATATATATATATAAATACATACAAGCTTGAACGGGATAAAACAAAAGAGAAAGTTTTATTCAGAAACAGCAAATGTTCTGTGCCATTATATTTGTGAATGAATTGACTCAGTGAATTGTAAAATAGCTGTAATTGTTTTCCCTATCCTGCTTTGTTTTCCTTGATGCAATAGATTTTTGTGTGCAGGGGGAGTGTGTGTTGTGGGATGTTTGTATACTATTGATTTTATAACAATTTTTATTTACTAGCGTCAGGTGCTGTCAGCTCTAAGCCAAATAGCAAAGCATTCAGTGGATCTTGCAGAGTTGGTGGTTGAAGCAGAAATTTTCCCAGTTGTGCTCACATGCCTGAAGGACTCAGATGAATATGTCAAGAAAAATGGTGCAACTTTAATTAGAGAGATAGCAAAGCATACGCCCGAGGTAAAACCTTGAAAATGCAAATACAAGGTCATATCATTAGATTTTACACTTTAAATAAAATACAGGATTATTCTGTCATTTGCTTTTCGAAAGGGAGGGCAAATGGCTGTTTGGCATGTTCATTGGAAAATATGGAAATGCTGATATTATGAGATGTGTATTGAATATGAATTGGGTTAGGAAACTGGGAATCATAAAATGTATACCTAGCTACTTCATTCTATGAGATATCAGCACAGAGAGGGAGTTCTTGGCTGACAGTACTGTCAGTCCTAGATATTAAAAACATTATGAGAAAAGCCTCACAGAAGTCATGATACGAGCTAATAAATTGCAAGATCATCCTTTAACAATAATAGATGGTGTGTGTCTTTTAAAAAATCTTCAGGGGTGCTGGGATCACATTTTAATTATTTTTCCAATGACAGCGAAGGTCAAAAATTCTCTTATTTATTATTAACCTGATTGTAACTTGAGTTTGTAATTTGAGTTTGAGCATTTAGAGTGTTTTTGCCATAGGAAGGTGGGGATGTTTGGCAAAGTCAATACAAAATAAATAGGAAAACCATATAATTATAACTATGGTAATCTGCCAGACCACAGAGATAATTAAAAGGCTCTAAATATGACTTTGGAATGAAATATAAGCGATGTATTTGTGGAACACACTAATGCTGAGCATAGTAATTTCAAAATCATGATGCACACTTAACAACTGAGAAGTGTTTAAACATGAATGTTGTGCAGTTTCTTCAGCCTGCCAGTCTTTAAGCTGGTGATAAAAGTTTACAGTCTTGGCACATTTCCTGCTTTCTCTCTGTACCTCATGGGCAATGCAACTTCACCTCCTCAAAAAGTAAAGAAATTATCATTATCAAAAGGGGGCCCTGGAGTCAGAAGCCAGAGCCCAAACTCAGGATTGCAGTTTAAGCCAGAAGAGCTTCTGGCAGCAGATCCTCCACACAAGAGGAACTGGCCATGCTAGCAGCTCTCCAGAGGAGCACTAGGAGGCATCTTGGTGACTCCCAATGGGAAGTCACAGTCCGTGTCTGACTTGGAGTGACACAGGTGACTGGCCAGCTCTGGGAACTCTGTTCAAGCAACGCGCGTTGCAGTGGAGACTGGCTGCCAAATGGGATTTCTGGAGGACTTGGCTGTGTCATTTGAGACTCGTGGCTTTTGGATCTCGACTCTCTAGCTGCACATGCAGTAAAATTCCTGTGAAGTCATTTGAGACTCATGGCTTTTGGATCTCGACTCTCTAGCTGCACATGCAGTAAATTCCTGTGAAGGTCAGCAGCAGAGAGACTTGGAGCGAGGGCTGAGGGACACGGCAGGAGCTCTGCACGTCCAGGTGCACGTGGCTGTGTGCAGATGTAGCACTTGGTTGCCACTGGCTGTAATTCACAATTGTGTTAACAGATTTTGCTAAGTACTAACTGAAAGTTTCATCTGGCTGTTTCACGAAGAAAACAATCCCCTTTTAAAGGCTTTAAGACAGAGGTGGATTTCATATTTATAGCAATCACCTGGATTGGGAATTCATGTGCTGCAGTTTTGTTCATTTAATTTTGACTTTTAAGAACATGTTCCTTTTGCTTTGGAATCTGTAGGGAGAATGGGATATACCTAAAAACGTGGAAGAAAATAATAATAATTTTGATTACTATGCATTATTGATATAATACATATTCTACTGCTGTCCCTCAAGTGATGTGACAAGTTTGCTTTTGGTAGAAACCTGTGTTGCATAGCTTGATTATCATTTATAAGCAAGGCTATGTCATTTAGCATTCTGGGGCAGACTCCATTACCCATCAAGTGTGTTCCCTGGACACTTCCCTCAGAGCATGCTAACATGGCAGAATGGTGCAGGCCAAGTCAGTTTTGCACATCCAGAACAGTTGTCCTTGGCTTCAAGCCTTGGTGTGAGGATCCACAAGGGATTTTGTGCCACAGAGGTAATTTAGAATGCAGGTGAGAGGAGGAATGGGCCTTTCCCTCTGGCTCTGCACAGAACATAGGATGTTAGTTTGGGAATGAGAGGCCACTAGGATGAAACAGTATCTGGCTCATTAGGTGCATCTTCAAGATCAGTCGTGTGATAGGCTGTCATTTGCACTTTTCTCTGGTGTGTGATGATGGAGTTGGGAATATGTCAACAGCATCAAGGATTCAGAACTCTGATTTCCTTGCAGTATAGTCAATCAAAAACAAAGTAGCAAATGACCTCATTCCTGAAAACTTGATGCTGCACTTAGTTCCCAACAGTCTGTATGATACACTACTCTGATTCCAGCTTTATTTTGTAAAACAGCAGCAATACATTAAAAGGCTTCTCTGATGTGGTTCTTTATGCTTGTAGATACTTCAGCGTATCTAATCTGTTCTGTTTATCTTTTCAGCTTTCCCAGTTTATAGTAAATTCAGGTGGAGTTGCTGCTGTGGTTGATTGTATTGGCAGCTGCAGAGGGACCATCAGACTGCCTGGCATCATGGCACTTGGGTATGTGGCGGCTCATTCCGAGAACCTGTCAATGGCAGTCATTGTCTCCAAGGTTAGCTATCACTTTGTTGTCTTCCTGTAGTTCTTCAGCGGTATTCTTTGGTGCAGATACAAATTAACATAGGCAGAGAATGTATTTTGTGACAGGATTATATACTTGCTCTCCATGAATGCACTTTCTCCTAGTATTGCTGCTTTCTATGACTGAAATTCTGTGGCAACCTGATAAAATGGTGTTGAACCTTTTACAGAACACTGTGGATTAGTTGGTATTACAGTGTGTGATTTTTCTGTGTTGCAACTGCATGGGTACAGAAAATAAGTCACTGAATTTCTGTTGTCTGCTTCCTCTTAAAATGTGTATTTGTGGCTGCAGTGAAAGCTTCTTTGGAGCAACTGTGGTTAATGGCATGTTCTTCATTTACAAACATGGCTCTGCAAGTACTGCAGGATTATCTTGCAACAGCCATCTTCAGACTTGAACAGACCTCAGTTTATTATCTTTTGTAGTTTGATTCAGTTGTGCAAGTGACATTTCAAATGAGTAAAGTTATATGTTTTCAAGTTTAAATAAATTCTGCTGGGCAATGATATAGAAGAAGAAGAATTTGCAATGTTTGCAGTAGGTGAAATTAGTGCCTGGCTTAGTAGTCTGATGTGAATAATGCTAATTAATGACAGAAGGAAGGAAACAATTTCACTAACATTTTTGACCCATTTTCACACTATATCAGGCATTTAAAATGTATGTATGAGTGGAGCAACAAAACAATATAAATAAAGGAATAGAAATGTCTTCTAGTAGAAATGCAAGTTGAAAAATGGAAGTTGCTACAACATCATGTAGTATGCAGGGAAAGTAGGAGTGATCAAAAAATGCTCTTCTGTGTTTTAAAACTAAGGGAATTGATGCTTTTTTTGGCTATCTCTGGAGGCCCTTCTTCTCTGGATGTGTCTCTCTTTCCACTTTTAGCGATGCCTAGAGCAAATATGCTCCTGCTTTTGAGTGCTTGACATTAAGTGGGATGAAACCAGGATTAAATTCTGGAGGAAGCCCCTAAGTTAGATTTTTGAAGGATTATAATGATTCCTATCATAACTGAATGGAACTGCTGTGAGAGCTGTTTCAGGGATCTGGGCAAACTTTGATGAAATTAAATATGCTAATGATTGATCTACAAAAGAAATAATAACAAACCCGAATAAACCCAAAACCCATTAAAAAAAACAAACTGCTTCAGGGGAGATTAAGCTTGTGGAGTAGTACACAGTGCTGAGGATGGGGCTTGGTAAACTGGAACCATTCGAAAGAAATGCACTGTGGCATAACCATATGCAGTTAGACACTGATGATGTAAAGTGATAGATCCATTCCACGGTACTCTAAGCTGAAAGGATGGATTTTGAGCAATGATTTTTGGGATCATACTGGACAAACACTTCATTCTGGTCTTCTGCTGTAATGCAGTGGCAAAAACCCCCACAATTTAGTCCTTTGTGGTATGAAAGAGTAGAAGATGAAGCATTATTGGAAAAGAGAAGTTAATCTATTTGTTTTAGTAATATATGTAGTTCTACTGTCTGTATTTGAAAAGTGTCTTGGGGAAAAAACCCAAAACAACAAAGCAGAAAACTGCAGGAAAGAGTAAAGAAGGATTCATGGGATGGAGAAAAAGTTTTTTTTGATAGAGATTTAGTAGCCTTGCCTTACCTAAAGTAGCATGAAATGTTTCCTATTGGAGTGTTTTGGCATAAAATACCAGCTACTAATTAGTTGTGGAGAAAGTATAAAGATCCTGAACCAGAACAACTTTAGTAACAGCTGGATGTGAGGTCTCCACCTCTCAATGTCTGCAAATCAAAAGTTGAAGCCCTTCTTGAAGTGATTGGGTGAGTCAAACATGAACTACTGGACTCAAGAAGAGGTTGATAACTTGAAATCTAGTGCTATGGATAGTAAAAAAAGAAAGACTCAATGACTGAACCCTTCTGGTCTTAAACTGATTTCATAGAATCATAAGCACTCAAATTCTTTTATTTTCAGTCTGAGAAAAACTGCCACCTTTACCTAGTACAGCCTGAATTATGTTGTGTATTCTTTTTATACCTTAAATTTGCATGTTTGTTCAAACTGCTCTCTGACTTAGAACATTGAATCTGTTTATGTGTAACTATATTTATTAAGATTTATTAAAAATTCTTACTAATCATGATGCTGTAAAAGTATGACACCACTAGCATGCATTCTCTTACAGCTTTTTTCAGAAGAGTGTAAATAGAGAAACATTTTCTGACTCTCTGTATCTGTTTCGTATTGTCATTCCCTGGTCTACATTTGTAAAGGCTGTGCTTTTGATTAATGCTGCAGGGAATACCTCCACTGTGTGCCTGCTTGGTAGAAGAACATGAAGATCATATTAAGGCAGCAGCTGCTTGGGCCCTGGGACAGATTGGAAGGCACACTACTGAGCATGCACGTCATGTTGCAGTAGCAAACGTGCTGCCCACGCTGCTCGACATCTTTGCGGACGCAGGCAGCTCAGAAGATCTTAAAGCAAAAGCAAGTAGATTTGTAGTATTTGCATTGACATGGTGTATTCATTGTAATCAAGAGGTTTGAGTGCTTAAAAACTACTAAGTTATGTGTTTTTATTGATGCTCACCGAGTCACAGCTTTCCTGGGTGCAGTGTCTGGAGGCCGTGTCACTTGTTAGGGGACTGGCTGGTCCTAATGCGTGTGCATATGGTGTATACCACATCATATGCTACAGCCACCACAGTCTAATCCCTTTTTTTTTTTTCCCTGTTTAGATCAGAGTTGCATAGACCCATTTGCTGTAATTTCTTGTGACTCATTTCTAATTATCCACCTCTTTTTTGCAAGTATAAGCTCTTGTAGAAAATATTACAGTCCTTGTAATAATTGTGCCTACATTTTTATTATTATGATAAAACTGTAACAGCTAATCAAGGCTCTGCTCTTTAAAACATGCAACTGCCCATATTTAGGGCCTTTCCCTGTGTGGGAGCCAGTAGAGTTGCAGTTTAGTAAAGTGTGTTTCTGAGCAACAGTAAGAGTGTAATAGGACAGGATATGATCTCCCATGTTGCACTATGCTTCTGTACATTCCACTGAAATACCACATTCCATGTAAAGTACCTTTTATATAGTAATTTCCAGTAATCCCAAAAATATTGAAGCCAAATTACCTGTACCTGTAATCCTACCCAAGAAGGTTACTTCTGCTTGTATCAGTCAACACTGAGTTTGTTTCCAGAAATATGCACCAATGCACAATTGTTTCACTCTCTCTTTTCCCCCCTGCCTGGACAGTACTGCACTTTGCTATCCCAGACCAGCAGCCTCTCCTAGTAAGCCACTTCTAAAATACAATCTTTTAAAATATGTTTTGATTTAACTTTCTTATTATATTAGAGTACTTCAATTTACCTAAAGGGTCTACTCCAGCTTTCATTATAGTCAAAGGAAAATTGCCATTACTTTGACTGTAGATAACATAATAATAATAATATGATGCACTGTAGGTTTTGAGGTTTAATAAATCTAAGTAGAGAATTGATTCTTCATTAAGTAACCTGATAGATATAATAGTTTCTATTCAGAAATTGCTAATTGAAAATTCTGATCAATTTGCTTTTTTGATCAGACTTCAGTGATATATATGAATTCTTGTTGTTTTCATTGATATCTTACTACAGAAAGTTTATTTTGCATTTCAATAGACTAAGAAAGCCTTAAAGAACATTCTTCAGAAATGCACGTATCTACCAGCACTTGAACCACTGCTTCATGAGGCCCCTTCCAGTATTTTGCAGTATATTATTGGGCAGTTTAGTAAGGTAAGAAAAGGCTCTTCTTGGTGAGTAATATGTTAATTGCTAATTGTTTCCCATTTAGCCACTCTAAAGGTGTCATTGTTTTCTCAGGATCCTCAAGCATCCCCTTCCAAAGCAGTTTGGATCCTGTTCTTTTGTCTTATACAGCTGGATACTGTTTCATTTGGAATCTGCCATAATTCATCCTAAGACTGGGAAAACAGTTTCTTATAAGCAAGGTGTTTTTTCCTTCCTTGCCTCTTGAGATTAAGTGGAATATTAACTCATGTGCAAATATTTTCTCTTGAGCCAATGTATCACATAAATCCCAGTCACATCTGTTTTAGATAAACTACAAGCTGTCTGTACAGCACTGACTTAAGTCAGCTATTTTACAATAATATAAAGGCTTCACTCCTTTTATCCTGATTAATTTTCAGTCTCAAATAAGTGTAAAAATTCCAAATCTTTTCTTATCCCTCTCAAAATTTTGAAATAATAGCTGTTAAATACATTGTTGATTTGAATGCAGCATGTAAAAGTGATACAATTTATTCAAAATATTTAAAATCTGTAAGTAATTGCTAACTAACTGGGAGACTTGCAATGTCTGTCATGTTCAGCTCGTGCTGGGAATTCTGTTCAACTATAGACTATGTTTAGTGCAATACTCTGCAGTGTAACCTGTTAGCAGGGTATACCAAGCTGTGTTGGTGAGATGTTCTTTCTGGAAATGGCCAAGTAAAACACTCTTGATACTCAGTTCTGGTCATGACAGATCTGGAAGCACTGCTGTTGGTAGTGCAGTTTCCTGATTATGTTGCCACAGTTTCATTTCTCTTGTCTTCTTGGTAGGGCTGTTCAAAGAATGGAGATTTGCACAGAATCCAGTCCCTTTTGCTTCTCTGTTCTGACTGGAGCTATTAATGAGCCAAGTGCATAGCAATTGGTTATCCAGTGTATATTTGAACATTGCTTGCTATTGAAATAGTTTTGTGCCCTTCATATCAGCAGATATTTTGTTTAGTTTCAATTATCTCCTTTGCCTATATGTTATTAAATACACTTGTCTGGCGTTTGTTCTTCTGAAGTGTACTCTTAATTTTAAGTTCTCTGTAGTAAAAGCATTTTTCTCTCCTGCTTGGCAATTTCCTATTCTTAGAGCTGTGGTCTGTTACTTCTGTGGGCTTATTTATGGCACAGTAAAAGCCTTATTTCCAAGCTGTGCTTCAAAATGGGGTGCTGTTTGTTTTTTGTGCTGGACTGTGCATTTTAACATTAGCATTTTCAGAGCCTGTGCAGTTCTGTGCTGTCTCAGGTTGGACTGGAGGAAGAGGCTGTGTCTCAGAGGTGCTCTCTCTCTTTAGGGCCTCTTCCCAGAGAGTTTTCTGCTGTCTTATCCAGCCTGGAAGTCACAGTGTGGAGGAGGAAGGCAGGGAAAGGGCCATATCCTGTCTCCTTGCTAGTTCCTCCTTGGCAGTTCTTGTTGTGGGAGATATGTGAAAACAGACGTCTGTTCAGTTCCCACAACGAAAAAAATCACAGTTGTTCCTGACACTTCTGTGGAGCATAGAATAGAGAGAAGTCTTTGTGCTCTCCTGCTTTTTCTTTACCTGTCTGTTGATTTTGTACAGCCTAGAGGAACCACAGAAATGCAGCTTGTTTGCCTGTATGCATGGAAGAAATTTTGTCCTTTTTCTTCATCCTTTTAGGCATTCCCTTCCTCATTTGAGGCTCTTGTTTTACACTGAAACACAGTCAAATTTATGGCTTAATGTCTGAGCAATGTGGAAGCTACAAAATGCTTTTGCCCTCATAATTTGTAACTCTCAGAGTTGGTTTTAAACGCATCTGGTTTTGCTGTAGATGCAGCTGACATCTTGCATTATCTTTCTATCTTTTTCTCTCTATTTTTTTTTAATAATATTGCAGCCCTATGGGCCTATGGACTACATGCTGTCATTCTCCCTCGCCTGGCCCAGCCCCCACCTCCCTCCCTCCCTCCCTCCCTTCATTCCTCCCTCCCTCCCTGCCTGCCTGCCGTCCTCTGGACAGAGCTGCGTATTGGCATCACTCAGGGAGCACAGAATGTTATTGTCTGATCATTTCTGCTTCTCATCCCCTTTGGCTGCAGAAACTTCACGTTTTTGCTTTGTGTGTGTGTTTGTAAAAGGCTTCCATGGCTACACAGTGTGTTAAAGGATTTTAATATCTAGGAATTTAATAGTAGCATGTAATGCTTCAAGGCTGTATTGTTCACTTGCAACAATTCTCAGTATTGTCTTCATGCACTAATCTATACTAGATCATTATAACGATATAAAATTCAGCTCTACAATTAAACTGTGGGAATTGACATAAAAGACCCAAATAACTTGGTTTAAGTGGAACAGATGCTGTTGTTATTCCATGTTAGTGTTCTGTTTTGATTATCCATTTATTCTCCACAATCTTACTGTCTCTGTAGGAATAATTCAAGAAATATTATTTATGTAAGACTAAATATTAAATTAATTATTTTATGTATGTTATGTATTAAAGTACATGATGAATTATGTTGTAATCATAAAGGGCTGGTTTCTGGGTTTTTTTTCCCTATACAGCTGGGTGTTATAATACAGTAGTCATTACAGATGTTGTTTCTCTGATTTTCCATTTTATCTGTCTTCTGAATTAAAAACAAATAAGCAATATTTGAGCCTAGTGGCATACAGATGAATTCAAAAGATTTTTTTAAAATGTACTGTTCTGTGTGTAGGTGTTACCACATGACAGTAAAGCACGTCGTCTCTTTGTAACAACTGGTGGACTTAAAAAGGTTCAAGAAATAAAAGCAGAACCTGGGTCACTTCTTCAGGAATATATCAACACTATTAACAATTGCTATCCAGAGGAAATAGTAAGGTAGGAAAAATGAAATTTAAAGAATTCATACTTGTAACATTGTTAGATGTTTTTCACAGGAACAACACAAAAGAAGGATTTAAAATAGTAATTTAACTCCTGTGTGAATTTTGGTTTTAATAAAACCAAAGTATAACATTTGGTTAATTGCCCCAGCAGTAACACAACCTCTGGACACAAACATTAGAATGCTTTCTCTTTTTGTATTTGGAATCAGATTTCTTTGTCTGTCAACAAAGCCCAAATATTCAGGCTCTTGCAGGAAAGTGTGACAAAAAGTCAGTCCTGCACTGCCCAGATGGACTCTGAGTCTTCAGTACAACCACTCATATTTATGAATGTCTGTGAGAAATTTATTTTGGTAACTTATTTGTGGATTTCTTAGCCTCCAAAAATACAGGTATTGGTGAATCTTTGGTTGCATCCTGACTTTCATAATAATGTGTCTGACCTAGAGTATTCAGAGGCTCCTTTGAAACTTCCTCTGATGCACAGAGGGTCCGGAGGCTCTCCTGCACAGTTGGTCTGCCCACAGCTGCCCTTCCTCCCTGAGCCTCATCACAAGGCTTAAGTGTTATATAAAAGGACCATACACCAGCTGTCTGCACCGAGTTGAACTTTGCCCTTAATGAATACAGAAACACTATTAAATAGCTTACAGTCAAAATGTCACCATCCTAAATTGTAATAATGAGAGAAATGCCCTCCTAGATTCTAGATATCCATTTACCAGTCCTTCACTCCATCAACACATCAGAAGGATGTTGTACTCATGTACTCCCTCTACAGGCTCTGAAAATCTGCATCATCAATTTTAATTATAGCAGCAGAGTTCTTCAGCTAATAGTAGCTAGAAACTAAGTCTCACAAAATGAAGCTCTGTTTGTCTCTACAAAGAAAAGCCAGTGGCTGTCAAATGGGTAAAAGCAAAGTGATAAAGAAATTTTATACTGCAGCTAGTACTTCAGAGGGAAAGAGGAATTTTGTTTATGCTTTTCTGGAACATTAATAATGTTTTTTTTGTTATACCTATTTTTTCCCCTGTAAATGAAAAAAGGTTACTCATCCAGCCTGGGATGTAATAAAGGAAAAGGCCCCTCTGAGCATCTCTTGCTTGCCTGTCTGTGCTTCTGCCTGATGTTTGTTGTGCTGCCTGAGGCACAGTAGCTGTGATAGAATCCAGCTCTGGGTTTGTCCTGGAGACCTGGACCTTATTTTAGGCTGTTTGCAGACTGGATACAGTAATGCATTGGAAAGTTAGCTTTACAAATCACAGAACTAGTAAGAGGTTTAAAAAGAGTTTAATTATGCAGAAATTATTCAGAAAAATGAAAATTAACAAGGTAAATAGGGAAATCCCTTGAAGGGAAAGCATTGGAAATTTTTTGGAGTATATTTTAGGCTTACATTACATGGAGGTGTGTTCCTGTCTCTTTATAATTTAAGCTTTCAGGGCTCAGAGGTGGCAATTCACATGCCTGCAAAACTAGAAATATACTGAGATGTATATGTTTTTAGAATAATAAAGTATTAAATTTCAGATACTCTTAACCTGGAAAACAAGAACTAAATGCAGCTTTGATGCTGGCATATTGGATGCATGTAGTTGGTCCATTGTGGAAAACCAGTTGAATGACAGCAGGACAGTAATGGGACCACAGAGTCCTACTCTAATGAAAACCTCTGGATAGTGTCCATCCTTGATTACAGAGAGAAGGTCACTGTGACTTTTTTTTTTTTGTTCCAGAACCAGTGTCCCTCTCATGGATGTAGGCTTGATGTGAGTTTTGGGGTGTGTGCTAATATCTGACAAGCAGCAGCAGACTATTGTCATTTGCAGCCGACAGTTCTGTGCAAACTCATGCTTTTTTTATTAAAGGCCATAATTTCAAAAGAAGCCAGCACCTACATTTCTTATGGCAGCTGAAGCTGAACCTATCTAAAACGTAGCCACTTACCTACATGCCCTAAAAGAAGCCAAATGTATTTTAAAAAAACTGACTTCCAAGTATAAATGATAATGTAAGTTGAAAAGCAGGTTGTTAAAACATTGTAGGGGAGTAACTGTAGAATTCCTTGACCAGTATTTAATGCTAGGATTTTTTTCTTGATCAGTAGAAATATGCATAGTATTTCATTACTTTGCACAGAACATGCCTTGTAGTCTAACACACAAACAAAATGTTTCTCTTTCAGGTATTATTCCCCTGGATATTCTGAGATACTTCTGGAAAGGGTGGAAAATTACCAACCAGTTTTATAAACTTCAGTGTTTTATTAGAGCTGCATTTCACATTTATGCCTTTATGACAGTAATACAAATACAGCTGTTGAAAGCCTTGCTTGATTCTCAAATCTCTTTTTACTATTTGCACTACTGAAAAAGCTCAGCAATTCTATAAAGCTGTATTTTGTTCTTTATAAACTTGTTTGTTGTTACATTTTTGTTCCTTTTTGTTTTACTTTAACATTACTACCAGATATTGCCACATATATGAATGGAATTTCATGCAGGGGTGATGATTTATCACAGAAGCTTTTTTAGAATCAGTCATTTCCTTTTCCTTCTGCAAGAAAAGTTTGTCATCTCATTCAAATTTTAGCCTTCTCAGTACTATTGCCATTTTCTCCTTTTGCTTTTGTATATTGTTTAAAACTTCCCAGGCTTGATGATGGGGGAAAAAGTAGACCCCTGTGCTTTTTCTAATTATGGAATTCTTTCTGCACTGAGATATCTCCTACTGCTGCCTTTGGGGAAGTAAAGTGTTGTGATTTTACATCTCCAAACATGTTAGTAGCAGCTAAACAAAGAAATAATCACAGATTAAGATGATACAAGGGCTGAATTCTTCATGATATGGTCTTCTGGTGATCCTGGCCTGGTAGATAATACATCTTCTGCAAAAATCCTCCTAATTAAGGAGGATTTGCTGTGGAGAAAGGGGCAATACACTGTTTGGTCTGTGCATGGTTGTTCCTGTTGAGAAGGACAGAGTGAGCTCAGAACTTCACGGACGCGAAGGGAAGGGCCCTGGGAGCTTTGGTTCTGGGCTCAGCAGCACACGGGTGTGCCTCAGAGGAGAGCAGGCTTGCCTGGCTGCAGCAGCACCGTGAGCAAAGGTCTGAGCACATTCACAGGAAATCTGAGGACACTTAGGTTGCACTGATTGGACTGATGGGACTAAGGTGGCTTAGGATTTATCCTTCAAGAGCTCAAATAGCTGAAGAGTTGAGTTAAAACACGTTTGGAACTTAAGTCTTGAAGCTGCATCAACGTAGAGATGTATAACCTCTCCCATCTGAAGAACATCCTGGAACTATTTTTACCTTCTTTTGGAGAGTGAAAAGACTTTTACATTCTGCTTACTACTCTGGTGTATCACACAGCAAACAACCCTCTAGTCTTCCCTTAAATGTAACTATCATTTACCACTTTTTGTTCTAACCATTTTTCTCTTTATCATTTGCAGCAGTTTGGGGGAGTGTGGTTTTTTTTTTGTTTGTTTTGGTTGTTGTTGTTGTGTTGTTGTTTTGTTTTGTTTTTCATTTTTCCCAAAGACTACTCAACAGTGTTTCTGGAATGGGATATGAAAATACTGGCAGCCACAAGGAAAGATAATATTTGAAAACCTCCACTGGAGAGAAACTGACCTACTTTCTTAAACATATAACTGAATGGGTTTATAAAAGAAGGATAGTCTCATCTATTACTTGTAAAGCAGGAGCAAAGACTGATTGCAGTTGGAAATTATTTAGAGTGGCTTTTCTTTGCCAAATTCCAAATTACTATTTTTTTTATTCTTGTCAGCATATTTTTCAATGGTTCACAAAAACATGGGTGGGCTATCCTGTGTTAAAATTTATTTCTACAGAGGGCTGTGCTCCTGCTGTGAGGTACTTGGTGGTCTCAGACTCTGCTTTTCAGGAGGAGCAGGGGATGCACAGTACCTTACTGTAAGGAGACTGTTGGTGCCATGAATGTTGATATAGAATCCACACCAGATGGGTTCTTTCCTAGCCCACAGCTAAGTGAAAAGCCTTAGAACTGACTAGCTTCTACCAAATGCCTTTTTGATTTTAGTGTTTATTGTTTATAGTGACATTAATGCTAGGATATTCTGGCACTGTTAATGCTAGCGGAAAAAACTTTGAGATTTGAACTTAATAAGATTGTTGTTAAGAGTAATACTCAATAATTTTCTCACATGCATTGTGGATATTTAAAAATCAAATCTTGTACAACCCCTGAAACAAAATGCGATGGAAGGGCTTCAAGACAGTCTCGAAAGATCTGAAGCCTCATTTTTCCCTAACAGAGCAGAAGTGGTGCAGAGGGCTGTGTGCAGATGGGAGGCAGCAGAGGCATGGAGCTGTGTCCCCATAGCTGCCTCGTGTGCTCGGGAGCACCCCCACCCCACACAATGCTAATGTATATGTTTTGTGCAGAGAGAGCAAAGAGGCTTCAGTCCCCTGACAAATGTGCTCCTGCTGTGTCACACTGTGCTACACTGTAAGGATTCCACAGGGTTAAATTTCAATGCCTAAACAATTTGTTCACAGTCTTTTCACAGTCTTTTTCTGATTCCTGACAAAGGAAATGATTGCACAAGGCAAACCTTCAAAGCGATCTGATTGTGTAGAGCACAATCTAAATCAGACCTAGCATAAATACATCTTTACATCCCTGGGCAGCTCTGGCCTGGGCCAGTGGCTGTTTGGCCTCTTGTCGCAGGATTCCTGGATGATGCCACATCCCATTAGGCTGTGGCAGTGCAAAGTCCTCTCCCACGTAGTTTGAGACCCTGGCAGTTGTTCTTTGCTGGCAGGCTGCTTCTCTGCCTTGCACAAACACCTTGTGGCTGGAGGCTCCCCTGGACGTACACGTCTACACAAGACAGACCTAGGCCTTTACAGCAGAATTATTCCTAATTTGTATTTTACTAATGTAACCGTGGCAAGAGTTGCTTTTTTCCTGTAGTGTCTCAAAAGGTGTTTCTTCGCTGTTTCTATTCCATTCTCTCATTTGGTTTAAGTCATCATCTAAAACTATATTAATGTTTGTAATAGCTGTTCTTGCAGGCTTCAAGTGTGCATCATTTGTCTCAATTTCATATAATAAAATGTAGATTTGCATTTTAATTCGTTCAAATGCTGTTTTCATGCAAGTGTGTGACTGTGGTGCTAGAGAAGATGAACAACAGGCTCATTTTGCAGCTTGGCCCCTACACTGCCTTTGGATATTTGTCTCAGCTTACCACTCAGCAGTGCCTACTTTGGAGCTTAGGACATACAGGCATTTCAAGTAAGAGTCCCTCTCACAGAGGTGGCTTATTAAGACACACAAAGATAATTAAGCCAGTGCTTTGGCAGAAATAAATGTAAGCCCTTAAATAATTTTGCCTGTTCCTTTGACTGCGGCATTGTGACTTTTCAACTCAAATCTCTAAAGATCTTCTCTGGGGGCCTGAGCCGTGATTTCTGTCTGCATTACTACAGTTATTACATCTACAGATGTAAACCAGGGCCTTGACAGAACTTGTGGATGTGTAGAACTTTTACCATATTTCATTCAGCAGATGGATTAACTGCCCTACAAAAGCTCCTTTCTTTATCTGAATGACTGGAAACCTAGAGGATCTGAAAAGAGGAAATTCAAGGAGTTCAACTCTTGTGCATATAATATGTTCTGCGTGTCCAGAGGGATTTACCAAGGGATTGCTTTGTCTCATCTGAAGTGATCAAGCTGCTGGAGATCTGCATCTTAACAAACAAATGAACAAAATGTTGAAGGAGTTGAATGGAACTGGTGGAGGAAATGAACCTCATATTGTGACACAAAGCATAAAGTTATTGTAATTAGGAAGTGGATGGAGTGTTAGTAGATCTTCAAGTGTTCTTGATTTGGTCTAGGGGGTTGTGAATTAGCCTGGCCCAAGGGGAGTTTTAAGCATGGAAAATGCCACGGGATGCTTTCAACTTTGTTATAAATTGGAGTCCTCTGAGTTCTGGGTATGAAGGCGTGGCAGACAATTGTCTCACCATGTGAGGAATCTGTGAAAGCATGCTTGCCTCAATTTCTTCCCTAACGGCTGCTTGGTATCCAGTATCTTGGTTATTGGAATTTTAGATCTCCTTTTGTGACTGGCGGGGGAAGGAAATATGGAGTGGGACTGGATTGCAAAGCCAGTGGTTCCACTTCTCACACTGACATAGGATTGCTTTTATGGTCTTGGATAATTATTACAAATCCCTATGATTCATCATCTTCATCTGTGAAGTATCTGTTCTACTCCTTTGTTAACTTACAGAAGTGCTGGGAAAATTAAATTCATATGAGAGATTGATGCAGCAGAACTTAAGTTCTTTATAACTAATACCATATTCAGAAAGAAATATTGTTCAAGAACCTACAAAAATTTACCTAGATTTTTAGAACTGGAGTTGAACTAAGAGTCAGTGGATGTTGTGAGTTTCCTCATCTGATAAAATTTAAAGGAATCACAGAGAAAGAGGAAATTATTGGATCTTGTGACTATACTAAAACTATTGATGTTATTTTTGTATAATACTTAACTGATAATATTGATGCTACTGTGCTTTATTCTGCAGCCAGCTCTGTAATTTAGCTAGTGAAAATACTAATTACCTTATTACCACTGTACTGTATTTCTGGATACAGCACAAAAGACTGAGTTAGAAAATATGTATAAGCAACACTAACACATATTTTGATGACGAGAATGCCTTTTAAACCAGGAAATGGTTTTGTGCTGCCTTTCAGGAGAAGTTACTCCTGCTAGGGTTGAGCACGTTCCATGGCTGTGTCCCTCCCGCCCGGAGGTCGGATCAGGAGCTGGGAGTGCTGAGGGACTGGGAGCTGCTGGCCCTAGCACAAACCAGTTGTGTTCACTCTCGTGCATCAGCAAGCCGTGGAGAGGAGCAATGCAAGGCTGCTAATGTCATCCATTTAGCATATTTCCAGAGATTTTGAAGGCTTGCTTTTTCTTCATAAATACATGCTTGTTCTGACTTCCAAATTGAGTTAAATTATAGGTATCCAGATTAACATTACTGTTCTATATTTTATTCCTTTTGTAACAAAAACTAGACTTCAAGAGGTGAGAGAAGTGTGTTTTAGTGTATTTCTTTAAAACAAAGCTTTTGATTACTTATTTTGTGTCAAATTTAGCAGCAGAACTCTTCATAATCTTATGATGAGATGCCCTTTGCTCTCAAGGAAAGTTCTGTCTTCACTGATGCAGACTAGTGATGTGTTTTATCCCTGTTGTCCTATTTATAATTCGGTCTGATGCCCTCTGAACACATTCATTCACCTTTCAATATTAGGTCAGTGTTAAAACCATTATCAACCTAAAAGGTTGGATTGCTATCAGAATCCAGCCTTTGTTGCCCCACAGTGCTATA